GTTGAAATTCGACTCCTAAGCACTAACCCACACTCACCCAAAGGCTGATCCACTGCCAGACTTTGTTCCGCAGAAGCTGGGAAAACTTGGCTTCTCTCTTCCACCTACCCTCCAGACTCCCGCCAGCGTCTCCCATTAGCAGAACCTAATGGGAAGCCAGCTCGCTGAGGATCTGGGAAATGTAGTTTTCAGGCTTCTCGCCCCTGTGGAGAAGGACAGGGAGAGTGGGAACTGAGTTGAGAGCCTACAGACAAATAGCCAGCACAGTGTACGACGGGCGCACAGATGTTTCACACACAGTGCTGATGTGTGTGGGTATCTCCAGATGTTTCCTATTCGGGTCTGTTTGAAGCAAAGAGAACATATGTCGACTGTCTCAAACTTCTAATAGAACACTATCACAACACATTTAACCATCCGATGATCAAACTCCTCTTCCTCCTCGCCATCTACGCCCTTCCTCCTTGGATTGGCAGGGGATATGCAAACGCTGGCAGACACTGCAGTTCACACTCCACTTTGCAAAACCCCGATGGAATCTTTCTAGCTTCCTGTCTTTTACCCCTGAGTATCTCCCATGTATACCCAAGGTAATCCTATATAATAAAAGCTAATATGCAAATTGACCGAACGGCAGAACGACTGGTCGCTATGATGTGCACTGACCACCAGGGGGCAGATGCTCAATGCAGGAGGTGCCTCCTGGTGGTCAGTGTGCTCCCACATGGGGAGCGTCGCTCAGCAAGAAGCCCTGAGCTGGGCTCATGGCTGGTGAGCACAGCAGCGGTGGCAGGAGCCTCTCTCACCTCCATGGCAGTACTAAGGGCACAGACCAGGCTGAGGGAGTCCCCCCCCCCCCCGCCCTGAGTGCACAAATTTCATGCACCGGGCCTCTAGTATGTTAATAAAATTGTGTTCTTTTTTCTCTTGTTAATCTGTATTTTATTACAGAGATCTCAAGTAACAATTCAGAAAGGTAGAGGAAAAATTATTTTTTCTCCCCTATACACATGAAGTCTGCTAGATCCATGATAACACCAAAGGTTATTCTATTGAACTGGCAATGACTGTCCTTTATGAAACAAGGTCACTTGCTCTTAAGACCCAAGCATTAGACTATTCTTGGATTTTTCTCTTAGGTTGATTGAGCCTGGTGTTTCTTTCAAGGGCTCAAAACATGCTGTTGTCTACAAGGCAAGCCCAGAGATGGAGGCGTAGGAGGATGTGATAGGTCAGAGCCACTCTGACAAATGCGATGTGGTCAGGGCTCAGGAAAAACTCTGTCCCGGAATTAGCTTCACAGGAAAAATCAGGTCACGCTCCACAGCAAGGGCAGCATAAAGATGGAAGGCGGAGTGAGGCTTGTTTTGGAAGTGGCGGTTCCGTGGAACCTCAAGTCAGCCCCTATACCTCGCTGAGTCACCCAAGGGGGCGCCACCTGAGGTAATGACAGGGAGTGCAGCTGTAAGTGGGGTCATCTTGGGGTGAGGGGACGGCATGTTACAAAGAAGTTGAAAGAAGGAAACTAGTATTTATTGAGGTCCTTCTATATGATAGGCATGTCCCATCACTTTCTCATTTTAATCCTGAAAACAACCTTATGACATTATCTCCTCTTTAGAAATAGAGGAACTGGGGGGACCCCACATCTGGCAAGCAACATAGCCAGATTCAATGCCCTGTCTATTCCACTCACACGTCAATGCGGGCAAATCCATGGGACTGGCACCCCTTTAGGGGGCTGAGGGACACATAACCCTCACTGGGCCTCTGTCGTGTACCAGGCACTGCGTGTGTGTCTGCCACTCATCATCTACTTTACCCTTCCTAAGCACCCTGAAGAGTAGGTGCTGGCGCTTCCATTCTATAGGGTAGGAACATAAAGTCAAACGTTATAAATGTGTGAACACAGGATTTCAACCCAGGTCTGACTTACTCCAAAGCCATATTGTTTCCACGAACCTTCAGCCTCCCCATCTATGTTGGGAGTTAAGATACAATCATCTAAAGATCAAGAAGAGTCCTGGGCAGAGCACAAGAGCCAGGTGACTGGTTTGGGCAGAAGTGAGTATAAACAGAGAGGAGAGGAGAGGAGAGGAGAGGAGAGGAGAGGAGAGGAGAGGAAAGAGCCGTGGGGCTGGGATGGCCATGCACGAGTCACCATTGTCTCACCCCTGTGTCCCTCTTCCCTGCCGGCATCTCTCAGAGATCCAGAGAGGCCTGGGCCACTTCCTTTTATTTTTTTCCAGAACCCAGTATGAATTTGAATTTGGGGTCCCAGCCAAACGTTTCTGCTGACCTCCCCACAGTGGGCCTCTTTGCTGCCTGCTGCTCCCTCTGCCCACACTCCGATCTGCTGGGCTCCATGGGGTGAGCGCCTCTCGTTACAAAGAGGCCTCCTCTTTCTCAAGGTCATAAATATACCCGGGCAGGGCCCACGCCTGCTCTTTAATTGGTGCCCCTACAGACCCATTACCTCACTGTGCTCCCGGGAGATGGTCTATAAATATCTCCTGGCCAACTGAAAACACACAGTGCCCTTTAAAACAATCCCCAGCATTTTAGGAAAAGTGTGGCCACTGCAGTCCACTTCATTGGCTCAGTTTGGGATTTGCCAGCAACACTTTGAGTGACTACAAAGCATGAAGGTGTCAGAGGCATCGAGCAAAATGAAAGAAGCAAACCATAAACATATTATCATTTCTAAAATCTCTTCCTTTTAAAAATGATGTTATGAGATAGCATTTTCTGCCCTAGGCAGCTTGTAGTCATGCCCTCAACCCACACACCCTGCTCTCCCCCCCTCCTCCTCCTCCCTCTCCTAAGAAGAAGAAAGAAGAAGATGGAGAAGGAGGAGGAGGAGGAGGAGGCGGAGGAGGAGGAGGAGGAGGAGGAGGAAGGGGAGGAGGAAGAGGAGAGAGGGGAGGAGGAGGAGGAGATCTTATGCTATTGGGAAATTACTGGCTAAAAATTCCTTCTATCTCAACACTTTGTCCTCCTAACCTACATCTGTGAAAGGTCTCAGTGGTCAGAGCTTCGCACATTTAAGCCAAACAGAACTCAGAAACAGAGAGGAGAGTGAGAGAAAGAAAATGAGACCATCTGAGTTCATAAAATAAACTGTTTTAGCCTAGTTTTCCATTCTAGGTAAATGCCCTCTTCAGAAAAATGTTTTCAAACACCATGTTATAAAAAACCATTACTGGGAAGCAATGATCAAGGGATTTCCTCTTGGCAAGGAATGTGGATCTGTGTTTGGTATTTCACATCCACCCCATTTCAGCCGGTGATCAGAAAGGCAATAGTGCCGGGCAAGTCCTCCATTTACAACAGTTACAAGAGAGACATCCAAGAGCCTGAAAAGCTACATCCCTAGTGATGATTCTTAGGCGGTTTTAAAGACAGATTCCTTTATTACTCTCAGAAAACTCCAGAGGCATTTCCAAAATGTCGCTATCTTGCCTTCCTTTCTAGTTCCTCTTTCAGCTGTGGCCCAGCAAATGCTGCGGCAGAAGTTCCTTTCTCCCACTGCTCTGGAGTTTTCAGCTCCAAGTAGGAATGGGTGGGTGGATGGATGGATGGATGGATGGACATGTGGGTGGATGTGCATGGTCCTCTGTCTCTGGCTCCAAGAGCCTGGGACTGAAGGAGCCAGCGACTTCTCAGCAGTGTCAGATTTCTGTTGACTCAAGAATCCACCCAGAAATCTGGGGCAACAGCCCTTGTACAGCGATACCCATGCTCTCTCTTCCAGCTTATGCGCTGGTCAACACGTACAGGAAGGAAGTCACAACTTAAAAATAAAATTCACACATACACCATCGGCCAACATTTAAGCCCTCCTCTGAAGTCTCACCGGGCCCCACACTGAGTTTTACCCGATGTCATGAACAATCACGTGGATACTCAGACACCTGGACCATCTCCTCGAGCCGGGCGGGGTCTTCTTGGCAGAGCTGCCCCAGCAGAACCCGGGGTGGTGTCCTCTGCTGAGAAAACCCTCGTGTGGCTGGCTGGGAGTCCCAGCCCCGACTCCCGTCCATCTGCATAGGGGTGCATGCCCCAGGCTTCATGACCTCCTCAAATTCTGCTTGAGGAGGGTTTGGACTTGCCTCCTAGACATAAGTGAGAGATGAAATAGCTTGTCATTGAGTCAAAGGAGCTTTCATGGAAGTTTCTGCCCTTTCACAAAATTACTCAAGCAAAGGCTTCCTCCTGTGGATCCTAAACTCCCGGACAGAGGTCCCTGGGTGTGGTGTGGTCACACTCGGAGTCCAGAGCAGCCAGGATTGGGGGTCCCCATGTCTCCACCCAGGGAGGAAGTGGGTTTTAATGCTTTGAAGTGAATGAACTTTCCCAAACTGCCCTTCAGTAAAAGATGTGCCAACTTCTGATACGCATATATATTTTCATTTTTTAAGATCACTTCCTGGTAATAGCCAGGACTCGTGTAGATGACTGGCTGCTTTTTCTAATTCCCCAGGGAGCTTCCGTGGCTCTCCCGATGCCTCGATGCACTGCCTGTCCCCCGATGGCAAGGCTCCGCTGCCCAGAGGTCACCGTGAGGCCAGTGGCAGAGCCATCTGGCACCCAGGAAGTGGGAAGTCATCATTTGAATCCACGGATCATCTGGATTAAAAGATCGTCTATGAAGAGGCCTCTCTGTGTAGTCTAGCACCTCGTCAGAGAAATTCTTTTTCTGAATGTACACTCCAAACCATCACTCTGACCAAACAAAATTAAGTCAGACACCTAGCCCTAGATGTGCCCTCAAAAATATTGCTCTATGCCTCTGCTTAGCCTCAGCCTCTTCCTGGCCCTCCTCCCCACCCCCTGGCTAATGCAAATTGTGTAATTATTTGCTGACCCAAGTGCTTTCTCTCCTGGCTTCAGAGTTCCCCTCTTCAGTGTTAGAAGTTGCATAAATAACCTTATCTTTTGGCAGCACTTTTTAAAAACCTAAGTCCTTTCTCTTTCCTCCACTCCCCCTGCCCGCCTAGGCAGTGCCAGTGCCAGCTCCCCGGCTCCTCTAGCCTCGTCCTGGAATCGGGCACCTGGGCCTGACAGTTCTGCTAACCCCGTGGGCGGCGAGGGCTCAGGGGATTACGGAGCTCGGCTCTCTGTGGTGTTCACTGAAGGTCAAGGTCCACTGTTCCTCCAGCCCCTCCTTTAGAACACAGAGGCCAACATCCTTCTCACCAAACCAGCTTAAAATCTGATACCTTGGAAGCAGGTAGGTGCGGCCGCACAATGATTCCCTCCGCCCACCGGCAAGCAAATATTTACCCGGGCTGGGCTGCTGCCCGGCAGGCGGGGCTCGGGGCCCGGCCCCTTGAAAATTACATCCATAGCTCTCTCCTCTCTTGCCCCTTTTACACTAAGTGGAATGGAGCCTGTTTTTAAAGACTTCCAGAGAAGGGTTCATAATTGCCCTTGGTAGAGGGCCTTAATGCGTAATTTAAATCTACTTCATTTACGCATTCAACCTGCGCCTTAGCAGCACTTACTAATCCATTGCGTGGACGTCATCTCTCATTCTGATTTCTGGAATAAGAGGGGGAAAGGCTGCATCGCACACCTCATGCCCTCATCTCCTTCCGAATCCTTCCGGGGGGATGGGGGGGAGAGGGAGGGGTGACAGATATGGAAGCTCAGCTTCTCTTTGCCTGGGAGCCCCTCCCGCAGCGCCCTGGCAGGGAAAGTGCAGGGGATGCTGGCTGTGTCCTGGGCAGAAAGAACCTCAGTCCCAAGGCCCCAGCACCCGCCTACGTGCAGGCCTCAGGTTCCCCTTGTCCTTACAGCTGCCTTTGAACCCTCTGAAGGATTTGTTTCTCCACCGGCACTGCCTGCTCTGAGGACACAGCAGGCAGCCCTCTGAGAACAAAGGCCAAGGCCAACCCTGAGTCCAGGGGGCAGAGCGTGAGCAGGACAGCAGCAGCACACCACGATGTCCGTGTGCACAGGGAGGGGCAGCCCGGGGCCACGCGGGGCTTCGCTGCAGCCGCAGCACTCACAGCTCCTTCCCACCAGGGTCACCTTCACACGTGGGGGTGGATTTGCAGGGCGAAGAGGAGAAAGACACAGAGGGGGGAGGAGATGAAGAGGGGCGGCCAGGGGGAGGGAGGGAGAGAATCGCCCGACAGGAGTGGAGCGCGAGGAATAGACGTGGATTCAGAGAGGCTCCACGGCTGAGAACAGCTGGCGCTGCCCATGTTGGGGCACAGGAGGCCCTGACGCCTGGGGCAGGCGTGCGTGTGAAGGCCTGCGGTCCTGCAGCGGCCGGGGCGTGGGCCTTTCTCTCCGTGTTCCCGGAGAGGCAGGGGCGTGGAAATCGTAGGAAGGGCCTTGGCTGGAGCAGCTGGGGAAGGACGCATCTCTGGAACCTGCTCTTCTATATTTTTATTTGCTCCGGGTGCCAGTGCCGCCAAATCCCAGGAGGTGCCTCACGGGAGAAACTACAGGGCGAGGCGCTAGAAGGAATCGGGAGGAAGGGGCAGTGTGTTAAGAGCGAGCAGAGGCATGGCCCTGTCTCCTGGAGAGAAGCTTCTAAATGCCCACCGTCCAATGTCACGTGCAGCAGCCACGTGTCTGTGAGGACTGCTACCTCTGGGCACTGGGACTGCGCCCACTGGCGCCCTGGGAGCTCATTGCTGCTGCCAATTACAGTCTGCTCTCACTCGATTGTCCTAAGCAGGTCAACACGATGAAGCAGTGAGACGCAAGGCTTTTCGGAATTAAATAGCAAGTTTCTGCACTATGTGAAGACGTTAAGAAAACCATCTGAATCTTTTGCAGAAGTGTCTTCCATGAGTGCCAGTAGGAGCTGGTTTCAGAACCTCCAGAAGCTGGACTTTCCCGTGTGTCTGGGGAAGTTGTAAGCGAAGATGAAGGGCTTGCAAAGACCTTTCCCCCCCCTGTTTGAAAAGCACTGATTGACCAAGAAGGCAGTCTCAGGATCCTGCTTCTCACTTTAATGAGGAGGTCACATCGGGAACACGTGCCCTTAGACACATGCCATTCTCCAGGAAAACACACGCGCCCAGAGCGCAGAGCTGCCAAGGATGGGCTGGCCGTAGAGAAGCAGGGCCCGTGGAGGTTACTGTACTAATATCTTCGACTGATATTAATTTAATTAGTGCTCTGGTTGTAAATCCCACGGTTTTTAATAATCTTCCCCAACCCTCCTTTTCTCATAAACCCAATTAGTCTTCAAGGCTGATTTTGCAGAAGTAAGGTTTTAATCTCTTCCGGAGGCGGGGAGGGTGGAGAAGAGGGGAAAGGGATGCATATAAGGCATTACAGTAGGAACCTCCGTATTTAGGAATTCTTGGTTTATTGACCAATTTTCTGGATTCTTGTCTCATTTCACTTTGCTGTATTGGTTGCCCATTGCTGCTGTAAGAAATTACCCCAGGCTTAGTGGCTTAACACAACTCTAATTTGTTATCTTAGTCTGAAAATCAGAAGTCCTAAATGGGTCTTGCAGAACGAACACCAAGGTGCAGGCAGGGCTGTGTTCCTTTCCTTTGATCTGGGCAGGTTTGCGATTCACTTGTTTTATTCTGCAAGTCACTGGTGGTCATGATAGCTGTTAATGCATGGCTGTAGTATAGTCCTCGTCAACTAACTAGCACTTGGAAGAAAACATGGACTCTCTCTCATATGCCCTCCACTCTGTTACTGCATTGCTATCATTGCTGATGCAGTAGGACACTCCCTGTATTAAAAGGGCCCAAAATTGTACACTTGAAACCTATATCATTGTATTAACCAATGTCACCCCAATACATTTAATACCAAATTGTAAGAAAAAATAAATGCTTTTCTGTTGACTATGTCCATAGAGTCACCACATGGAGAGGCCCACGAAGTGCTCCAGTCAACAGGGCCCATCTTCACATGCCCCAGGCCCAACACCAGACGTGTGAGTAAGGGAGTCTTCAGGTGACTTGATCCCCCAGCTGCTGTGTCACCCCAGCTGCCTAGACCCCAGATATCATGGAACAGAGACGAGTCATCCCTGCTGTCTAAATTCCAAATCCACAGAATCCATGGGCATAATAAGGTGGTTATTTTAAGCCACTAAATTTTAGGGGTAACTTCTCCTGCAGCAACAGGAGCTTGGGCACCAGGTACGTAGTGTTCACGGAATGCGCTGCTCGGGTGTGTTCCTGAAGCACAGTTGTGATGACAGCCATCATGATATCAGAAAAACTAACACCAGCAGAGTTAGACAATTAGTGGCTTCTCCAGAATCTCAGGTGCAATGCCGGGTTTGAGAAAATGTGACAAAAATCCATTCTAAGAGTTATTTGGGGGATTAAACCACTTTTCTAGAAAAGAAAACGAGCAGAATTTGGGTGCCTAGAGACACTGAGAGTAGGCACAACACCCCTTCCCCGTGGCCTCCAGGGTGAGCTGCCCTCCTGGTATGAGGTGGATCAGCACCCAGGCTGGGTAGGCGTGGCCTCTGCAGAAGGAAGTCAACAGAGGAAGCTTCTCAGACAGGTGAGGAATTCCAGGCAGTCTGGGAAAAGCCCTTTTGCTGCCTTATCTATCTATCTATCTATCTATCTATCTATCTATCTATCATTTATCATCTATTATCTATCTATCATTTATCATCTATTATCTATTTATCATCTATCATCTACCTATCATCTATCATTTATCATCTATTATCTATTTATCATCTATCTATCATCATACCTATTTTTATTATTATCTATTTATCATCTATCATCTACCTATCATCAATCATTTATCATCTATTATCTATTTATCATCTATCTATCATCATACTATCTATTTTTATGCCACATTGTGGTAACACACACACACACACACACACTGACCATGGCCAGGGCCAGGACTTCCTGGTGACTGGGTAAAATAATTGCTGCTGGGAAGAGAAGGGAAGTGCCCGCTTCCGGTGAGTTTTGCCTGATGTGGCTGAAATGTGAGGAACTTGGCACACTTCCCAGCCGGAGAAGTCTGTGTGAGAGACTGATAAGGAAAGGAGACTAATTCAGTAACCAAAGTTACTGCAGTGCAGTGAGTTGTCCTTACACCAGACCCTGCCTTATATGGGGAAGGGTTAAATACAAAACAAAGCACAGTAGATTCTGAAATATTATCTTGACAGTTAACAGTCACCCACAGATACTGTCCAGACACTTAGGAATCCAAGTGATAATTATTTGAGCTATTTTTTTTTCTTTGCTTAAGACATCTGGACAATTTTGCACAAACCAGGATGGGAATATAAAGTCCTTAGATATCCTTCCCCAATTAAATTATTTCATCAATAAATAATTCCTGAGCAGGTAACTCCAAATATGTTCATTCACATCAAGAAATGCCAAGAAAGTACCCTTTAAAAATCTGTAGTAAATGGATGTTTCCTTCTGTGTTGGCTGGAGCTCATTGTGTTTTATAAATTCACTCAACATTCGAGGCTCTAGACTTAAATTTTAAAGATCAGGCTTCCTTCTTCTTGTCCTGAGAGGTGCAAACATGTGCTGACCATTGGTTGAAGGTATGTTGGTTTTATTTAGTGCGACACCTACCAGACACCCTCGATGATACTACTGTGCAAAATTTCCAGACTTCCTGGGCTGGTATCCCAGGAAAAGTCAGCTATGTCATCTTGTATTAGTTAAGATGGTGCCAGCTGCTATCAAACATGAGCCTCCAGCCCAGCCAGTGTGCTCAGTGGTTTCGTATCAACCTATGAACCAGAAGGTCATGATTCGATTACCAGTCAGGGCACATACCTGGGCTGTGGGCTCGATCCCCAGTAGGGAGCATGAAGGAGGCAGCCAATCAAAGATCCTCTCTCATTATTGATGTTTCTATCTCTCTCTCCTCCTTTCCCCGCTGAAATAAAATATGTATGTGTGTGTGTATAGATATGTATATATATTTTAAACATAAACCTCCAAAACTCAGTGGCAAAATATTATTTATTTGTATGACATAAAATGTCGCTTATGACATTTACTTCCCACTCATGCAGTGTCCACTTGACACAAGGCAAGGCAAGGCAGCACGCTCTGCAGAATCCTGCGGAGACCCCAACGGGGCGGGGCAATGCCATCCTCAATGCGTGACCTGCCCAGAGAGAGCAAAGGATCACGTAGGCCAGGCCTGGAAACGTCTACATCACTTTGACCCACAATCTGATGACCAGAACTCAGTCAAAATGGCCCAAATTAGATGCAACTATTTCTGGGCAATGTCACCCCTGGCTGAGCACCCACTTCCCAGCAATAGAAGCGAGCATAGTTCTTTGGTGACAAACCACCCCTCTGGCACACATCTCATTTACACCGCGGATTCTTTCCATCCCCAGGCCTGTGGCGAGTGCCGTAAATGACCAGGCCAAACCTAGTCCCACCAAGATCCAAAAGGCTCGTGCTCTGCTGTCTTGGTCTCTATGACGTTTAGTTTGGAACGGTGCCGTGGCACTGAGACGGCCCTCCCCATGAGGACCTAGCACAGGTGGTGAGGGTACGCTGGCCCAGCTCACGTTCACTGCGCAGTAGTGCTATCGCCTGTCGTGTTTCCAGTGTTCATTCACCCTGGGAATGCTACCACATGTGAGAGGGCTCTGTGGCAGAGGAGAGTGTTCCCTCGGTCCTTGGTGATAGGTGGGCACGCTCAGGGCCCCTAGGCCCACTTTGGGAAGCCAGGGCCAGGCAAGAAGATTGCCTATGGGACCAGGCCCTGGCCTGGATTTCACTTCGTGATAAATCCCAGCTGCCCTTGTTCTCCCGGGAGCAGCTACTAGTGATGCGATGCCCAGGGCAAACAGACCTGTGTGGAGATGTATGCTGCCCTTGTTCTCCCGGGAGCAGCTACTAGTGATGCCCAGGGCAAACAGACCTGTGTGGAGATATAACACTTACATAATAAATTAGCCTGCGCATCACCCTCCTTGTACGCAGACCTGGATTATTTTTAAGAATGGCCGTGTAAACCATCATTGATTGTTATCCTATTATACTAGGCACTGTGCAAAGTACAGTACTACTTTTTACCTATAATAGTAACAATTGTTCTGCTAGGTAGAAATCGGGTTTCATTTTAAACTGAGGTACCTCAACAAGGTTAAGTAGCTCATTCAAAGTAAACTGATAGTGGCTGAGTTGAGGTTCAAATCCAGACCAATGTAACTCTAAAATCTGTTCTCCATCCACTATGGCATATAATGAGTTACACCCCCTCCCCCCAGGCACCCTGGGGTGCTTATCCTCAGCTTCCAAGAGCAAATGCTTAGCACACACAAGGAAAACACCAACCCATTCATTCCTCCCTGGCAAGACTCGCCCAAGTAAGTTTTCTCAAACTGCTCAGGGCCAACCTGATGCCTTCACCTTGATAGAGTAACCCCATGTGCCGAAAGTTTGAAGAACATGTATTCATTGGAAAGTGAGATTTCATTGTACGTAACTGCACGCAACAATAACATATGATCTGTGGCCACTCGAGTACTAAGGGTAGGCTGCAGAGACACACAAGTGTCTGAGATTCTTGTAAGTGTTCATGTCATCGTCATACAAGGCTGATTTCCCTTCACATAGCTGCTTCTTCACAGTCAACAGCGAGGTATTCCTTCTCTCTCTCCAGAGATGTTACACAAGCAGCATCGATTCAGACAGTGACCAACTGGTCACCAAGTCAGCCTGTTTTCCAAGCCATAGGACATTTAAAAAGACAGTTACTAAAGCCAAGAAGCCATATGACTTAGTAGCACCTTCTTGAATGGAACATTTTTTGTGTGCATCTTTGGAGACTTTTAAGTAAAGGCACAGCATTTTTTTTAAATTTCTTTATTGATTAAGTTATTACATATGTGTCCTTATCCCCACATTACCCTCCCCATCTTCCCCACTCATGCCCTCACCCCCCTGTTGTCTGTGTCCATTGGTTAGGCCTATATGCCTGCATATAAGTCCTTTGGTTGATCTCTCCTCCTTACCCCCACCCTCCTCTACCTAAGGCACAGCATTTTGTGTTGGAGACCAGGGCAAAGAAAAGAACATCCCATGTTCCCTTAGTGCCATTATTACAATAATGGCTTCACTTTGAGGACTTCAGATAGCCAGGCACAACCTCACAATGATCTATAGAGACTAAAAGATAATCATTTCTATTTCACGGAAGAAAGCAAAACCAGCTGAGTCAGATTAAGTGAGTACATCGCAAATGACAGCAAAAGAAGTTGAGCCCAGGTTTGTCTGACTATCTCTACAGCCCACCCAGAGCCCCAGAGCTGTTTGCAAAGAATGCCATCAGGAGGAAATTCGGCCTGGAGTGGGAAGGCTGTCCAGCGCTGCACGGCAGTGTTGTGCAATCTTCAGGAAGGGAACACAGTGTTCTGAAGTTGCACAAGGAATGTAAACAAGACAAATGAAATCTCTCAGAATCCGTGCTAATCCGCTGCCGAAGTCTGATTCCAGAAAAAGCTTTTGTGTATGTAGCGTTTGACTAGGTAGCGTGCCTCTCAAAATACTCAAAGTGGTGAGAGCAATGACTGAGTTTTGCAAGTGTCTGTGCATTGAAGGTAGTTTATTTCTTCCTCGGCAAGCAGGCTCTGTGCTGACAGCAGGTCTCAAGTGCTTGCTGAGCTGTTTTAAAACTCCCAGGAAGACTGGCCTTAGCTTTTATAAGGAAAATTCCAAAGCTGACATTTGTTGATGGAAGTAACTTCGCTGGGTTTGACAGCATGGCCTTGGTGGTTCCCGGTGCATTCCAATGCCATCTATTCAGGATTTGTGAGCACTTGGGGGGGCGGGTGTGGGAGGGAGCTCTGTGAAGGCCCCCTGCCAGCACGTCCCTTCACACACAATAAATAATCAGGTCAAGGCCGTGGCTCCCCAGCGTGCTCCAATGGCTTCCCATGAAAATGCTCCCGTGTAAGACACACATACCTACTCCATCACAGCTTATTTGTAACCGAGGCTTATGGGAAGCACAGGGACAAGCGAGTTCATAAAATGCACCATCTATTCTGTGTTAGACTCTACAGCAAAGCATGTCAAACTCAAAGGCTAACACTGGCCAAATAAACAAGGTTTCAGTTTATGTGGGCCGCAAAAAAACCAAAGCTTCGATTTTCATAGAAACGTAGGTGTGTTTCGATAGAGACATGCTGAATACAGAGGGCTGAAATAAATGAGTCATCGTTAACATAAAATAATAGAACATCTCAAGAAAAATTAATGTTTTTTCTTGAACATTAACTTACCAGACACTGAATAACTGCACAAATGAATAAGCATAACACAAATAAACCTATTTTTCTTGTTCTCTGAAAGAGAAATATTTCCTGTTGCGCACACCAAATAAGTCAGTCCAAGACAAATGATGTGGCAATCGGCTGCTAAAATATTTGCTGCTGGTATTAGCAGAGAGGAGCGGTATGCCTGCAGGTAAGACGCGTAAGGAAAATGAATGCAACACGATTATAGTCATCAGTCATTAGCTAACACTGTAGTTAGTTATTAATCATTCTGTGTAACAGGATATTGTAAAAATTAAGTTACAAAAATTTATTAAAACGTTTCTTACATACCATTATATTGGCTGGGACGCAAAAAATGTTAGTTGTGGCCTGCGGGCCACGAGCTTGACATGCTTGCTCTACATCTATTATTTCATTCTGACAATACCTGTGAGTTTGTGGAGCAAAGGATTCTCGTGTCCCTGGGACACACAAGGAAACTGAAATTCGAGAGCTGAGAGATTTTTCTCAGGGACACAGAGTAGCTGAGCTCAGATGTGAACCCAGTTCTCTCTGCATCGCTTTGGAGTTCCTGCTCCTCGGAGGCATCTGCGGAATCCTTGAGGAACAGCAAAGGGTGATTTTGATAGGTACTTGGAGGGAGCTTTTCTTTTTCTTTTTTTTTTTTTTTACATGCCTGGTCTTTTCTTACTCGTCACCATTCACATACCAGAGTCCCCAAGGTCTACCATCCACCACGTGAAGCATTACATTGATCTGAAAGTCTCTTATTTTTGAGCCCCAAAATTTGCTCAGAATTTCCTCTATGTGACAGGATTCTTAGCTTTTGAGTTCCGTCACACTCCTTGTCATCTGGAAGTTTTTGCCTTTCCAGACAAAGTTATGAGCGGACACGACTCCAAGGCGGAGCCTCTCAGCCTCTTGGAGCCTGTCGGCCTCCTTCCCCTGCCCTCTTCCTGGTATCCTTCCCACCCGTTCTCAGGAACCCAGTGGGTAAAGAACACAACATCCTATATAATAAAAGCCTAGGTGGCATCACACGCAACATCATCACAAGATGGCCGCCACAAGATGGCCGGCAGGGGAGGGCAGTTGTGGGCGAACAGGCCAGCAGGGGAGGGCAGTTGGGGGCAACCAGGCCGGCAGGAGAGGGCAGTTGGGGGCGATCAGGCCTATAGGGGAGCAGTTAGGTGTCAATCAGGCAGGCAGGGGAGTGGTTAGGGGGCAATCAGGCTGGCAGGCTGGCGAGAGGTTAGGAGCCAGCTGTCCATGATTGGAGAGGGTGCAGGTCGGGCTGAGGGAGACCCCCCCACCCCCACACAAATTTTGTGCACCGGGCCTCTACTTATAAATGAAAACAGGTATGCATGTCAACAGAGTGAGAAAAGAATACAAAACAAGCTATAAATTTAAAACTGACAAATAATACAAACATCAAGAAGTCCAGAAAATTAAAATTGTTCACTCATTAACTGCTTAGAACACCTCTACCATACTTGTAACATACATTCATTAGCTACCTATTTTTAAAATATTTTAATAGAAGGAACATAAATATCATGCAGCCTTTTCTCCAGCTTGTTGGAAAGTTCTTTTGCACTTTACAGGTTGTCCCTGGCAATATCGTATAAATATCCAGAATGGCTTTCAAGTTCGGGGAAAGCTCTATGGTCTGTCTTTCATCCAGGAATTGTGTCAGGTGTACTCTGTCGTACTGCTACAGGTTTGGGTCCCCTACACATAGAAGCCTGACAAATTCTAGTTCATGCAAATTCTATCAAAAAGCAAAATATATGGCCCTAGCCAGAGTTGTTCAGTGGTTAGAGTGTAAGCACACACACCGAGGGTCCAGGCCTTGATTCCCGGTCAAGGGCATGTACCTGGGTTGCAGGCTTGATCCCGGGGCCCCATCGGGCACATGCAAAAGGAACCAGTACTCTGTCGTACTGCTACAGGTTTGGGTCCCCTACACATAGAAGCCTGACAAATTCTAGTTCATGCAAATTCTATCAAAAAGCAAAATATATGGCCCTAGCCAGAGTTGTTCAGTGGTTAGAGTGTAAGCACACACACCGAGGGTCCAGGCCTTGATTTCCGGTCAAGGGCATGTACCTGGGTTGCAGGCTGGATCCCGGGCCCCATCGGGCACATGCAAAAGGCAACCAGTCAATGTGTCTTTCGCACATCGATGTTTCTCTCTCCTCCATCTCCCTCCTCCTCCCTCCCTCCTTTCCACTCTCTCTAAAAAACAATGGAAGGATTCACAAAAAAGTAAAATATATGTATGGTGAACTTAGAATTAAATACTGCGCATTACCAAGGTCATCCCCAGTTGGGGAGAACTCCCCTTTGCATGGGAGACCCTCACCCTCTCCTTCGCAGTTTGAGACTTGGGGGGCGGGAAGAACCTCCCACAGACGAGCTTCTGGCTCCACACATTTCGAACACAGCTTCTCCCCAGCCCCGAGGGCTCCAGGGCGGGTGCAATCTGCTCTTGAACTCTGCACATTCACACCCTCACACCTGCTCAGTGGACGAGGGGGCACTTTGGAAGGCATGCCTCATCAGGAAGGTCATGAATAACTACATGTGATTTGGTCTGAAAACCACATAAATATCCTCCATTTAACCCAAACTAAATATACCTCCAACTCAAACTCCATGAAAGCAAAAATCACCCGGGCCTACTCCCAACACTAACACAAGGAAAATAGAAGCAGAGAAGTCAGACTGGAATAAGCCAGCAGTCTTAATTTGTTGCTTAAATGTCTGACTTGCAAATTTTATAAATATCTGACCTTTGAACCCATGCTTAGCCCCTCAGGGGGACTTGGGAGAGGCCCCAGCAGGTCAGGGACCCTGCAGCGGAAGCTCCTAAAGCAGCGATTCTCAACCTGTGGGTTGCGACCCCTTTGGGGGTCAAACGACCCTTTCACAGGGGTCGCCTAAGACCATCGGAAAACACATATATAATTACATATTGTTTTTGTGATTAATCACTATGCTTTAATTATGTTCAATTTGTAACAATGAAATTGGGGGTCACCACAACATGAGGAACTGTATCAAAGGGTCGCGGCATTAGGAAGGTTGAGAACCACTGCTCTAGCCTATTTCATCATCAGAGACTACGCTTCCAGATTATTTTGGACTCCCAGCTTATCTGCAGCCTTACGGGGGCACACAGCCTTACGGGGCACACTGCCTTATAAGGGCACGCTGCCTTACGGGGGCACACAGCCTTACGGGGGCACGCTGCCTTTCAGGAGCGTGCTGCCTTTCGTCATGTCTAAGAATGTGGCCCCTCCGGCACATTTCAGATCGACAGTATCATTGGAAGTCATCACGGAGAATCCCAGGGGTTTGCTAGCATTTCCTCATTAGTTAAACTTATAATTGTGCTTTCCCTTTTTAAAAAACAAACAAACATTTTTATTGATTTCAGAGAGGAAGGGAGAGGGAGAGAGAGATAGACACATCAATAATGAGAGAGAGTCATTGATCGGCTGCTTCCTGCACGCCCCACACTGGGGATCAAGCCCGAAACCCGGGCATGTGCCCTGACTGGGACTCGAACCATGACCTCCTGGTTCATAGGTTGACATTCAACCACTGCGCCACTCTGACCAGGAGGAAAGAATGCATTTAGAAGAATAGCCCTTGGATCTAAATTGAACGTCATCACTGCATCCCAGTGCCGTGTCTATGTACACGCGTCTTTTGCAGCTGCTCATGCTAAGTAACGTAATCCTCTTAACATGACTGCTCACTTTCTAGACAGATGCGGATGCTTCTGTAGCGGATCTTGTCCACGGGTTTTCTTGTGGTCAGTGATATCGCCACATCCCTTCCTGGATCATAAAGATCTATACACATTTTGTGCAAATTACATCTTCAGCATCAACAAATTACATCTTCAGCATCAACTTCCTTGAGAAGCAAAAAGATAGCAGCGATAAGTTTTTCAGTGAGCGTGCACTTTTTAAAAAACCATGTTGTCAAAAGACCTAGTTGTGTATGTAGACCAGTGAAGGCGAACCTTTTGAGCTCGGCGTGTCAGCATTTTGAAAAACCCTAACTTAACTCTGGTGCCGTGTCACATATAGAAATTTTTTGGTATTTGCAACCATAGTAAAACAAAGACATATTTTTGATATTTATTTTATATATTTAAATGCCATTTAACAAAGAAAAATCAACCAAAAAAATGAGGTTCGCCATCACTGAGTAGACCATACGGTAAATGGCAACCACACAGCAGGACCATGCAGAGCGCTTCGCACAGGCTCTGTGGCGGGAAGGAGCGCTCAGCTTCTGTTTCCTGCTTGGTCACATATAGAAATTTTTTGGTATTTGCAACCATAGTAAAACAAAGACATATTTTTGATATTTATTTTATATATTTAAATGCCATTTAACAAAGAAAAATCAACCAAAAAAATGAGTTTGCGTGTCACCTCTGACACGCGTGTCATAGGTTCGCCATCACTGAGTAGACCATACGGTAAATGGCAACCACGCGGCAGGACCATGCAGAGCACTTCGCACAGGCTCTGTGGTGGGAAGGAGCGCTCAGCTTCTGTTTCCTGATCACAGTTCAAGTACAGCGAACCTATAACGGCCCATGTTTCTGCTGACCTTGACGCTCGGCAATGTGACGCCCGTGTTCACGTCTCAAGCCGCGGCACAGCCCACACAGCACAATGGACGGGCACAGCGAGGGGCAGGCAGAAGCAGCATCAAATCCCTCTCTGAGGCCGAGGGACTTGCAGGAAAGATCTGTCCCTGGACACTGTGTCTGAGGCTCATTTTACTCGACGCCTCCCACACACTGTC